ATTAAAATTTTGCAAAGCAAATTTTTGTATGATAAGAGATTTTAAAACTCGAACTTTAACAATGCTTGTTGGGAATTAAAAAAATAAATTAATAGAAAGATAAAGTTTTCATTTATGTGGGACATAAGAATACCATTGATATATAAAAATATAAATTACTCTACAGATGCAGAAATAACTAGATATGTTGGGGTTTGGCTTACAAGAGAGTAGCTAGAACAATGTATGTATAAATTAAATAAACAAAGTAGTTTTTTTTTTTCCTTTTTTATGACCGAATAGAAATAATATGTCATCTTGAAATATATAAATAGTATTTTACAATAAATTTAATTCTAAGGAAGTAAAATTTTGAAAAACTATATCCAAGTTCTAATAGGTTTTTTCCCTACCTAATATGTGTGAGATAAAGTTTTTTTTTTTTATTTTATAGTATAGCTTCTTCATAAAAATAAGCTTTTATTAGTAATTACATCTTAAAACAAGTAAACTCTTGAGAAACCCCTTGATTAAGTAATAGCAATTATCTATATGATCTTAAATTTTAATAGGTTGGATGTTCTTTTGAAAAAGGGAGTAGTCTAAATTTAAGCACATTTCTTTTTAGGACACTAATAGAAGACCAGTTGGTGTACTTGATACTAAAATGCCAAAAGCATTCTAAAATATTTTATGTTGGGCTTTAAAGTTTTAAGTTTTATACTTGTATTATTGGACTAATCATTTTATTGAAATTTTGGAGCATATATTTTATAAACATAAGACCACGAAATGCCAAAGAAATCAAAACTCAAGGCATTAAAAATAAGAAACATTTAGCCTTAGAAATTATAATTAAAGTAAGAACTTCTGCAGCATCATTGGCCAAAAGGATGAAAATGTGATAGGTCAAACTTGATCCACCCACCCAAGTCAAAAGTTGGACGAACTCTAAATGGCTCAGAAAATTTTGAGTAGTTTTGTTAAGGGGATTTTGAGTACAGTGCAGTTAAACTATAAGAATTCTAAATTTTATTTCACTGGGAGAAAAAACATGTCGGGTTTTGAATATAGTGACTGGTTCAATCTTCTGTGTTTTTAAAATTTGTTGGATCAGGTGAAGTCCAAAATATATTGTGCCATGCAATGCCACTTCACTGCTCACGCTAACCACTCACATGACAACATGGTCTCATTGTCAAGTTTTCCACGTTAACTTGACCACAATCTCAACACCTATCCAATCTTCAAGCCTCAGTGTTTTCAATCTTGACTGCGATGTCTGTTATGACCCCATCACAACCTAAACCTTCGACTCCATAGCTGCACACGACCCACGAGACACCATCACCGACAATAAGCCCTCGATTCATGCCCTAATATAGATATATATATATAAAGCCCAAAAAAAGCTAATATATTCAATAGAAAGAAAGATACAGATACAATATGTGGTATAAAGCCCAAAAAAAAGCTAATAAATTCAATAGAAAGAAAGATACAGATACAATATGTGGGAGGGCCCAAGAATGACACCCTGCCCAAACAAAAACCACAAATTGTTCCAAAACTAGAAAAAAATAGAAAAATACATTATATACTAAAATAAAAAGTCTAACAGTGCTGAAATACATAGTATCAGGTGGCTAGAGAGCGACCCAATTTGGACTTGCCTCTGCCTCTTGTTTTAGTGTAGGAGCAAGCTAATCAGATGATAAGATGATTGTCATTGCGAGTAGTAACCAATGTATCATCCAATAAGTTCCCGAGCTGGAGTCGGCCTCCATTCTTCTTCTTCCTCCTTCAATAGACTTGTCATTCCTCTTCCAAAGAATCAGTCTGATGGGGTGATAGAACTGAAGCAGAAGGATTACCAACCGTATTACCCACAATAGGATCTAGTATATGTGAAGTATGAGTTACCTCTACACCGGATACTTCTTGAAGAAGTGGAGCTGTGAGACTTTCCTGATTATCAGTTTGAACACTATCATTTGTAGGTAATAGTCCGTCATTATTGTTTTATATGGGGGTTGAAGGTGTCAACATCACATCATTCGCAGTAACAGTAACAATAGTGTCATGGGGGGGGTTCCTCAGGGGCAATAGACACCTCTTGTCTGGCAGTATCCTCCCCAAATGAAACTAAAATGTCCGGAGTAGTGGGGTTAGCCCCATCCTTATTTACTTGAACCTTAGATTTCAAAATTTGGATGAAACTTGTGGCATTTATCAAGGACAAGACCAAACATCTTACAGTGGGTACAATATTGGGGTCTGTGCTCCATGACGATTTGTTGCCAATAACCATTATGGGTTGTGCCCAACCAAACTTCAGTAACATCAGGTAAAGTAATATTCCTTTCCACAAGTATTTTGGCCACCGAGAGTATGATTAAATTGAAAGTAGGCAGATCTAGTTTCAAAGGATTTCCAATGATGACTCCAATAGAGTAGAGAACCTGATTGTGAAAAAAATGCAACTTGAGACCAGATAAACTAAACCATACAGGTACAGTGGTAATTTCATGATTTGGGTCGAAATCAGGAGCCCACTTGAGTAGCTTCATTGGTTTACAGTAATATTAAGATATTTTTTGTAGAAAATCCCAGTGGAGTCTTCAGGCACGATTAACTGAATCAAAACATGTCTCTCATCCATAAGCCCCACTTTCTACTTTCCTGCTTTGAGGTCATCAAAATTTTTCCTGATAACCTCCATAGGTGGATGTCCCCACTAAAATTTTCCAATAAGAACAAACTTGAATTTCTCATTCAGGGTTGAAATTTTTCACTATGAGAAAAAGAGTAACGTCTTCCCACTTTTCCTGTTTCCATTCTTAATAAAGGGGCAGTCACCTGTACTATCACGATTCTCCTTATAACTTGAGGGGAACACAACCATCGTCTCCCTCTGAGGATTACTCACAAGGTGGGCATATATATATATATATATATAGGATGTCATCGCCCCGCCGCTCTGCGAGGGTTCCGCCCCCCGGCGCACCCCAGCGCTTCGACGATCTCCGCTCCCTCACGCGTCCATGCGCGTCGTCGATTGCGGCGGAGAAGACGCGACTCTGCTGCATCGTTTTCGCAGCATTGTCGACGACTCCACTGGCGCTCGCTCGCCCGCACTCGTCTCCGCTACGATCGTTGTTCCTTCACGCCCAGCATCACAAGGCTTTTCCTCCTTCACGCTGCATCGCGCCATGCGACGAAATCGCGGCTTGTCTTTTGATCGACGTGTGCTGCTTCTGCATTTGCGCCTGTGCCGATCGATGTTTCTTGCTGTAGAAATGGCATCAGTGTGTTCCTACGCTGCCGCTCTCGCTAGTGATAACCCTGTCTCCGCCCCTCTTTCGAATATATTTCCGCAATGATACCACAACAACTTGCTCTTGGCACTGAAACCAGATTTCTAAAAAAAGCTTCTCGTAAAACCGACAAATCTGCAATCTTTCTCACTGAGGCAGAAATCGCCACCCTAGCTGCGCCCTATCGACTGTTTTTAGTTGGTAAGTTTCTTTATGGAAACCCTAAACTTGAGCTAATTCAAAATAACTTCGAACAAATGAAGCTGAAAGGGGGTTGGAAGATCGGTAAATTGGATGGTCGCCACATTCTTATCCAATTATCAAATGATGAAGACTACACTCATTTGTTTGTGAGAAGACTTCTTCAAATAGAAAACCAAGTGATGAAGGTTTTAAAATGGACGATGAATTTTGACCCTCGCACTGAACCTCCTACCATTCCTGTTTGGCTGCGTTTTCCAAGTTTGAAGATCAAACTTTTTGATCAAGAGTTTCTCTTCGCTTTAGCGATGGTGTACGGTAAACCCCTCAAAACTGGCACTCCTACAGTGAATCTAACTCGGCCTTCAAAAGCTAGAATTTTGATAGAAAGAGATATTACTTTACCTTTTCTGGGAGAAATATGAATTGACATACAACATCAGTGATTTTGGCAGCAAGCAGAACTTGAACATATACCACTTTATTGTACCTACTGCCGTATCTTCTCAGTGTTATCAGTTGCATCCAAATTTAAAACCTTCAAGTAAAAACGCTTATGGATCTGCCCCACCTCATACATGTACATCCTCCGCTCCTGAGTGCATTCCACAGACTACTGAAACACCGATTGACACGATGCCACCCCCCTCCCACTACCGGAGACAATACTATCTCTGCCCTTCCAACTGATATATTGCATTTAGTTTACTTGGGCCCAATAATTAGGATAATATTGAAGCTTCACATTCCCAGGATGCATCAGGTGTTGAAGAGACATGCTTACCATCTCTTCAGAAACAGAATGTTGTTACTGCTAGTCAGGAGCTGGGGGCTTATTCTCTCATACATGCCCAACAATCTGTTGACCACACCGGTCAGATGAGCCAGATGAGCCAGTCCTCGGATGAGGAATGCCAAGTTTCCACATCTAGAAAGAAAAAGAAGAATGAAGGCACAAACCAGCTGAGGAACTTAATGGATGATACTCTAGTAACTTCGGGTAATGGAACGACACTCAACAATTTATTAGCTGGCTCCGCTCCTAGAACCAGAGGCAGAGGCGAGACCAAGCTGGCTCGTGCCTAGCAACTTATTTAATGCAAGCTTTATTTTTTTATGTTTTATCTATGTTTCATCCTTTTACGATGCTAGTTTCTAATGTATCATATGGGTATGACACATTTTTTTGAGCTCTATCATACAACCTCTATGTATCCTTTTAATTTTAATAAAATTAGCCCTTGGGCTTTATATATATTTATTTAAATTATATTTAGAATACACATAAAATTTAATTACCTGCAACTAAATAGAATTCAAAATAAAGTAATCTGGATTATATGAAAACTCAAATCACATATTCCAAAAAAGGCTAAGATACACTTGTGCTAATTTGTTAGCGAAAGTATTCCAAAAAGACTGATAGATAGAAGATTGTAACATTAAAATTTTAAATGCCATCAGTTTCATACATATAGAAGTTACTGCACAACTTGATAAACCAATTTTACCTGGATCAAGTGGTTTTCTCATTTTTCTGAGTATATCCCAATATGATTATATCAGAATAATAATATATACCAAATTCATAAACCCAAGAAAGCATGCTTTAAATAATGGCCTGACAACATTTTCAAGCAGTAATTATTAATAATAAAAAGAAATTGGGACAAGTAGAGGTTAAACAAAATGACAAGGACCTCCAATTGGCAACACTGGGTCATTGAAATTTCATCCTTTTTGCGGGACCTTGGTCGATAATAGGATCAACTGGAGGAAGTTGTGCTTCTAAATTTTGTTGATCTTCTGAGCCATTCACTGCTTCAAAAGCAGGTGGCGCATAGCCCTCAGGAAATGGAGGAGGAGCGGGTGCAGGAGGCAGCTGCATCGAAGAAACTATCTCAGGCTATGGCAGTCACATGGATTATGTTTGTGAACTAAAATTAGACATGATACACAACACAATAAAGGACCATCTCAAGTTATTTTACAAGTTCAATCAGCCTTCACCATTCAAGATGGATAGTTGCATATAACAATCATATACATTAAAATAAGTGGTATGTTTTAATTTCGGAAAATTTGCTCTAGCATTAGTGGTGCCAATTCTTCAGCAAGTCATGCGATCATTTTGAAGTTCAAACTAAAAGAGAAGAATAAGTCAAATATCATAATTGGCTTTATCACAATTATTTGAGGACAATTTTATGAATTCTTGTCTTTTATTTGTTCCCAATAAGTGTTTCTGCTGGTGTTAACCTATCCTTGGCAAGTCATTTTGAACAACTTTCATCCATGTTGCCTTAGTTCTAATCCTTCCCCTTCATAAATCTCCTGCACTAACTTTATCTAGTAAATGGGTGCATTTTCGACCTTTCTTCGTTGCGAGTCCGATACGAGAACATGACCAATTCTTTTGCTCTTATTTCATGCTATTTCTAGTCTCACAAATCTAATCCATGCCATGCTATGACCAATATTTGATAAGATATAACAACAAAAAAAAAACAGCCATTTCACCTTCCTCTGTAATGAAGCAAGAATATGATCAACTCGTTTCAATTCCTTGATATCGATTGCCTCCTTCACAACCTTAGTTTCAGAACTAGTTCCTTCCGCTTCAGAATCAACTACAAATCAGAAAAAAATGTTACAGTTAATAAAGTTTGTGGGTTTAATCTTGTTTGAACATAAACGTCTACAGGCACTTCGAAAACATAACATTGAACCAAAAAGAATGCAGCTTTCTTCGATATAACTCACAAAACTTCACCATTCACCTGAATGGATTCACAGGTTATGCAGTTTAGCATAGTAACAACATGACCTTAGAACAGATCAAACGTTGGAGACCCGGAAATTAGAAACATGATCCAGCATTGAGAACGTTACTGGTTATCCTTCCGCTCAATCTTGATGCTAATAGGTTCTAAAGGCCTAAGTTCTCTGTGGCCTTACAATGCTTTGCAGTAGTGGAAAAGAGAAAGGTCAGGTATTAGGAAAGGACAGCCAAAATAGAGAAACAAAAGAGAAGATAAGATGGTTTAATTTCCATTCATAAATCAACTTATCAAATAAAAGCCATGGATAACTTATTTTTAGAAAAAGGATTACAACAGAAAATCAAATCTAATCCTAGGTAATTCCTGAATAAATAAAATTCAAACTCAGTATCATTCAAAAGAACAAGTATTGTAATTTAAATTAAATCAAACCTAAAACATCCAAGTTAAGAAAAAAAAGTTTTGAAATGAATCCTTCAGCTAACATCTTTTGCAACATCACCTTAATCCTTACAACACCATTAAGTTTAGATTCAAGGTTATTGGATAAACCTTGGTCATAAAAACGAAGTGCCAAAGGAAGTAATGATAGACTTGTCAAATATAAGCATTGATTCATTCATAAAACAACTTATGCTACATCAAGTTAATTCATCCATGAATCAACTGGACAGTAATAAGCCATGATCCCCTATAACAATAAAAAAAAGGATTATTAAATAAAATAAAATTTAAGTTTGGAATCTGATCAGATTTAAATCCTAAATAATAAATGTTCCTAGTTAAAATAAAATATTTTAAATGAGTCCTAAAACTAACTTCTAAGCTACATCACCTTAATCCTTCAAACACCATTTAAATTTAGATTCAAGGTTATAAGGTTAAACTTATAAAAAAAAAAGAAAAACAGGAATATTAATAAACTTCATTGAATGTAGTTGTAAGATTGAGATTAGGCGATCAATCAAAGGATCACAATTTGAGGATAAGATTCATTGAAAGAGCAAAAGTAGTATTCATCAAAGTTTTAATGGATCATTTTCATTAAGAAAATTGTTGACAATAATGATTATGAAATCATACCACTGAGATTAAGGGTCTGTTTGGCGCAGCTGTGGATTATTTATAATCTGCTGATAAGCAGATTATTCTGATAATCTGATAATCTGCAGATTATCAGAATAATCTGGCTTGCTGTTTGGGGCAGCTTATTCAGACCAACTTATTGGTGGTTAAATGACATTCATGCCCCTGTTTGAATCAAAACTGTTTGGGGCAGCTTATTCAGAATAGCTTATTGTTGGAAAAGAAACATATAGTGCAGAAACATACGATAATCACAGATCAGTTCTAAAAGATACCATACAGTTCTCACACCTTAATGAGTACCAGGAAATCTAATCCTAGGTAATTCCTGAATAAATAAAATTCAAACTCAGTATCATTCAAAAGAACAAGTATTGTAATTTAAATTAAATCAAACCTAAAACATCCAAGTTAAGAAAAAAAAGTTTTGAAATGAATCCTTCAGCTAACATCTTTTGCAACATCACCTTAATCCTTACAACACCATTAAGTTTAGATTCAAGGTTATTGGATAAACCTTGGTCATAAAAACGAAGTGCCAAAGGAAGTAATGATAGACTTGTCAAATATAAGCATTGATTCATTCATAAAACAACTTATGCTACATCAAGTTAATTCATCCATGAATCAACTGGACAGTAATAAGCCATGATCCCCTATAACAATAAAAAAAAGGATTATTAAATAAAATAAAATTTAAGTTTGGAATCTGATCAGATTTAAATCCTAAATAATAAATGTTCCTAGTTAAAATAAAATATTTTAAATGAGTCCTAAAACTAACTTCTAAGCTACATCACCTTAATCCTTCAAACACCATTTAAATTTAGATTCAAGGTTATAAGGTTAAACTTATAAAAAAAAAAGAAAAACAGGAATATTAATAAACTTCATTGAATGTAGTTGTAAGATTGAGATTAGGCGATCAATCAAAGGATCACAATTTGAGGATAAGATTCATTGAAAGAGCAAAAGTAGTATTCATCAAAGTTTTAATGGATCATTTTCATTAAGAAAATTGTTGACAATAATGATTATGAAATCATACCACTGAGATTAAAACTCTCACTAGGAGCTACAAACACAAATTGATCGTCAATTGAATATCATACAAAGGAGATCAAGGCTCCACAAGTTAGAACATTAGATATAAATCCATATTATAACAAGACGAGAATGAATTTAAATTGTTTTACATGAGTTTATATTTAAATTCAAATTCAAATTATGATAATTCCTATTAAACTTATTGTTTAGTTTGAAGTTCATCTATGTTATCATTATAAAATGGTTAATTTTGGAGTTTGATTAGCTTTGCATAAGAACAGTTCTGTAATATAATTGCCTAAAAACAGGTTCAAAATTTTGAAATAAATTTAGAGGGATTTCTCCATACAATAATTTCCTTTTTTCCTCTCCCCCTTACTTTTTCTAGATTTTGAAAGGTCTCAGGTTGGGGTCCCATGGTGCAAGCACCTTTAACATGTTTTTTCTTCTATCCATTTTATTTTGTATTTACTATTTCCGCATGAAAATAGAAGATATTTATTCTTAATGAAAAAAAAATAATTAAATAAAGTCAATGGATTAAGTTGGTATCAAAGTGTCATTCCGTGGTAGATGGTACAAATAAAGAGTGGGCATAAATATACAAGGAATGCTTCTTGTTTTGGAGTCACATCAAAAGCAAATAAAGAGATAGGAACAAGAAAAAGAAGAGGAAGAAAGTCAATCAACACACTATTATTGTAGCCGTCTTGAATTACATTATTGATGCTATCTTGCACTTAAATTATCATTTCCTCTTGCAATCACACATTGTCTCTGTCTGAAGTTTTCCATTGAAGTTGTGTTGCCAAGTATTATCGCTCTAATCGTATTGTACAAGTGCAGCATCAAGTGTTGTTATAAAACTCCCAAAAAAAAATAAATCTTATAAGTTATAAATTTTATAAGTGCTATTTCATAAGAAAATACAAGGGAAAAATCTATTTTTTAGGGTTGGGATAATCCATAACCAAGTCTTCTCTAGTTTAATGTCCGTGAATAAGGATTCTTCTAAACTAGCAATACCTAGAGTCTTGAGTAAGGTTTGAAGCCTAACATTATAGTTTTATAACAAACTCAAAAAAATTTGAACCAGATTTTAAAATATATTAAATTTTTTTATCGATTAAATTTTCCTTCTATGGTCTGATGTAAGTTATTGACGTTTTTTTAAATTTTTTTTAATTTATTCCAACTGATATAGGGTGACAACTTTAAGAGGCATGTTAGGTAGGGTGGAGTACTTTTCCTTTTTAAATATTGTACAAGACAAATAAGAGTGAGAAGACTTAAATGAGAGAGCAAAAAAGATGTATATGTAGTTTAGGGGGACCCGTGGTCATATACACGACAATTAGCATCCTAAGCTTTGCTTAGCTTGTCTTGGTTTTTAAATAAGATTTACTTTGCTAAAAATACATATTTTTAAACAATATATCCTAATGATTGTGAAAAAAATGAACTTTTATAGAGCAAGCAATCAACTCATCATAAAGTTCATAAAGTTCAAATGTTAATTATAAAATGAAAATTCTAGTTATCTTGCCTTAATTTTGACTAAAGATAAGGCCTTCTTTTGTAAAACACAACTTTGCTATTTAAGAATCAAGTAAATTTTTTTGTTATTATAGATTCAGAAAAAGGTTTGTTTATGTCATTTTAGTCATTGTAACTATTTAGATGAAAGCGAATTCTTATGGAACTACAATTCACATGTAAGTTTTCAATTTTTTACTTATGAATAAGATACCTAATAAGGATAAACAAAACTTTAGGATAGGAGTAATAATATTTCCTAAAAAAACAAGTTATTATTTGCAAGTTATCTCAAATCTCTATCATCTAATGAACATTCAAATTATAGTAGAAAAATAACTGATATCTATTATAGTAGAAAAATATCTGATTTCAACCACAACCGACGAGCAAATTCTTGCCCTTGATAACCATATGATTTAGGGTCTATAAGATCTTGCAGTGAAGTTGGTGTCCCCTTAAATTGTTGGTGGAAATGGGGCAGTAGAGAACAAGGTATTTAAGGTTTTGGATAGATTTGAGATTGAAATTTTTTTTATTGAGAAAAAATTAAATTTTTTTTATTGAGATGAGAAAAAATTAAATTTTTTTTTTTATGGGAGAAAAAGGGTGAGAAACTCCAAATCAAAGATTTTGGATATTAGGTTTAGGGAACTAATATTGTTCTTTATAAGTTTTGGATTAGTGGTTAAGATATAATTTTGTTGTGCTCATGATAAAAAACGTCAATTTGTATTAGGTTTTTAGCTATGAAAATCGGCATTAATGAGGAATTAAGGGCTAGAGAAGTTGTAAAAGTTATGGGGAATGTGTAGGAGATTTTTAAACAAGTTAGAGGAGTCCTAGAATTGACAGAAGCTATAATTTAGAGTTGGCCCAGCCTAATGTAGACTAGAAGGGAACTATATCGTAAAAGTGGAGTATGTATACCACCCGCCACCATCTTTAGATATTAAACTAATTATTCATAATATTTTCTAATCCTAAATCTCAACAAAATGCCAACCAACACAATCAGAAAATCATGGGTCAAGACAACTTGAGCCATTGCTAGTTTCAGGGAATTAATCTCCAACATCACCATATGGAACCAAGTTATGAAATTTCTCAAAGACTCGCTATGCTCTTAAAGCTTTTTTGTGACCGTTGAGCAATGAAAACTTGAGTGATGAGTATTCCTTAAAATATGAAAGGGACACAATCTTCCCCAAAGGCAGGTGAGAAAGCCACCTAGGCTCTGATGCTTTGAAGGTTAATAAAAAAAGAATTGATACTTTAATTCATCGTTTATATTGAGTAGAGAGGTAACTAACTTGGTTGACCTCAGTATGATTTTTTTCTTTTTTCTTTTTTCTTTTTTTTTTTTTTTGGGAAAAACCTCAATATGATTCAAGAATGAGAATTTTGAATCTAGGAGGATGATCGATTTTATAACTTTCCGAGAAAAAGCATTAGGAAATTTTGATCTTCATTTGAGTAGCCCCTCGTCTCCTTGGCTCAAGGGATGATTCTCCTTCTATGATCTCAAGGTAATAAGTTTCATCTAGTGATTGCAAGTTCCTTCCCCTTAAATACCTCCTGGTCATCGAGTCAATAAATTTTTCGGACAATTGCAGCACCTACCCTCAAGGATTGATCAAGAACATCCTGAATCATTCTCTTTAGTGATTCTTCCAAACTATTTTCCAACTTTGTATGCTGCCTTGCCATTACAAAATTTTGAACATCTAGATTTATTGAATTTTCTACTAGAAAGTTTCCTCAAGTTGGATATCTCCTAGGTCCTTCAACAAAGCTATGAATGTCCCTGCGATACTAGGCACTATGCTCAGCACATCTAAGAAGTCGTTGAATCCCAATCTATAGATAATTCCAAAACGTTGTTGATTCATAGGGAATGGAAAGACCTATAAAAAGAAAAAATGGAGGGAATAATCCACAAATGCCAAATATTACAAGGACAAAACAAGAGGGATAAAGAATTAATAAGACTGAAACTTTTTATCTACTCGAGATCTCTTATTTATATGGTAAGTGTAAGATTTCAAGCCCAACAATGAAAATACATAATGTGCAATACATAGAAAATAGACCAAGAAATACAAGAGGTTGATTGTCTTAATACAAGCTTGAGTGAAGTGGCCAATTCATTGAAGAGATCCGTATTTATGATTGAAGTCAGCCAGGCTTGGTTGAGTAGGCTTACGAAGAACAGTTTAGATGAATATGACATCATCCTAAAGCATTAGTGAACACTCCCCTTGGATGAGTGTGGGTCCTTATTGCTAGTATGCAGAAGCTTTTGAGCTCAACTAGTTGAGCCCTCATTATGGGCCCAGATAGTGAGATTCCTCAATAAAACTCAATAGGAAAGTGCGCATAAAGTCTGTCTGCATGACTTGATAATGAATCTGACCTACCAAACCTGCCTCTTTCACTAATTTGAGGGTTAGCCTTAAGATTGTACATAGAGTTTCCCAAATTTTATGTTGTCTTGTATTAGCCAACACTAATTGTGCTCATAACTTTGCATATATTTGCTGACCAATTCCACCAAGACGAAGATACTCTTCCTATCCCTCTCAAGAAGAGCTTTGAACACTAATTGGCCCTAAGCTAGGGCCAAATCAAATCCATATCAGCTAATTTGTTAAAACATTTTATCATGAAGTAAAGTTAGTGTTGCAAATTTTTGTTAAAACATTTTATCATGAAGTAAAGTTAGTTTGCTTTGCAACACTAACTTTACTTTGAATTGAGAATGGAAAAGAATTTCATGTGAATACTTTATTTTAGGTAAAGTTCTCAGAAAACTAAATGGTAACCATAAAAATCAACTGTTTTTCGTTGGAAATATACCATATCCAATCTTCTCCAACTTTGAGGCTGCCATGTTGAAAGCTTTTGACAAGTGATAAATAGATTTCCCCTGTAACAAGTTATAGATGTATATTACACCAATAAGGACAGCATTAAATTTTATACAAAGTCTATGATACGAGCATTTATTAAAACTACTTCTCAACATCGATAGCCAGAAGCATTCCCTTTACTTTTAGTTCCAGAGGCTAAGAAATTATAAAGTAAAAGATTGGAATTAAAAAAGGACCTGATTAAATGACCAAGGTCATCAAACTATTGAGAGAATGTGTTATGTTAGATCAAAAGTTTCAGAACAGTTTAATCTACAATGATTTCACAAAAATGTTATGATCCCAAGAAAAAATAGTTTTCTTTACTTACTATTAGCATATACAAATAGAAAAAGATTACCTTGCTAACAGGAAGGGAAAAAATCAGAAATGCACAGTAAATAAGAAGGCTAAATTTCAATGAGAGGATAAAACACCAAAGCCAGCACCTAGAGGCTTTAGAAAACTTCTAGCAACCACCCCCATCTTAGTTAGCAAGAAAAATAAAAGAATAAAAAAGGCGATTACATGATTTTGTACAACCAAATTGTAGAACATAAGAAAAAATACTTTAAGAGCACGCTAAAACACAAATTAGTAACACAATCCACTTCATGAAAATTCTAATAGCTTACAATGCGAGCGGCGAAGACATTGCATAGCTGGGGAGCTTGATAGATTGAGCCGTCAAGAATATAATAAGTCAGCATCGCCATGGTTTTGTCTGGGCTCTCTCTCTTCACTTTCCGAATCACAAACAAATGGGGCTCCATAACCTCGCTCAGCATGTACTCGTTTCCCGTCATCTTCCTAAAAGTAATCACCTAGAAAAGATTAACGAAAAGGGTAGCAAGTATACGAATCAAATTTGGGTTTCACGAAGAAAGAAGTTGAGGGCGCGGGCGCGCACGAAAGCTGGGATGAGTCTAGTGGGTGGATGGATCGAGAGCGGAGCTGCTCATTGTTGCAGGTCCAATCGTAAAAGGGAGAAAGTGCGAAGTAGTCGAAGACGAGGTTGCGATCAAGAGGAAAGGTATTAAGCCAGAGTTGGTCCCGAAAGCAGATCCCCGTCATGTCCGTCCCAGGCAGCGGAGGCATCGCGGCGGATCCGTCCATGGTTGGGTTCCCCACCGCTGTGCCTGCTGTAAGAAGCGGTGACGCGGCCATGTGTCTTCCGGTTTCTGCCGGCTACGCTGTCTCTCCGCCGGTGGCCGGGAGAAGCAGCAAAAGATTGGGGCACTTTTGCTCAAAGCTTGTGCCCATAATTTGCGATAATAAGCTTCTTATATATTATATATTTGAAGAGAGAGAGAGAGAGAGAGAGAGTCATGAAGGGTGGTGTATAATCCTGCCATTCTTTTAAAAATAAATAAATAAATATTAAAAGAAAGAGAGAGCCAACAAGTGAAAAAAAAGCACCTCATTATTTTAAAAGCTTCTTAAACTTTCATTATAATGTAAAATTTTGTGTTATGTTTACAAAATAATAATAATAATAATAATAATAATAATAATTATTATTATTATTATTATTATTATAAATAAATTTAAACATGGAATAATTTAAGCAATATGTTATGAATAATAAATAAATAAAACTCTATACCCCTTGCCTCTGTTAGTTTTGTCCATGTATGTATGTATGCATGCATGTATGTATGTATCTATGTATATGTATATATATCACAGCAGTAGAGTGTTTGCGTAATGTCTTTGTGTTGCTCAAGAACCCAACACACACTCAGATAATATAAATGATAGACAAAAATACCAAACAATTTTTAAGTGAAAAATCCCAAAAGTGAAAAGCCCACGAGCCTAGTCTAGTTGAAGAAATCCATCATAAATTGGTGATTGTAGATATAATCTCTTATCTCACATATGGGAAAGACTTACACAGTCTCCCAAGCTACAACATCGATGTGTAAATGAACTTGTCGCAGCGTAGTACGAAGGATCGCTGCAGAGAGTAAAAGTCAAAGCTTCAATGCACAATCTTCAGGATCGGTGCAACATCAATGAAGATGCACTGCTTTATAGGTTGTTTCGTATCGTGCTTTGTCACAAGGAATGGGGCGACGATCGATGGTAATCGGTGGTTGCGATGAGTGGTGGTCAACGGTAGTTGGGGCTATAGGAACAAGAGGCTTTCGTCGGATCGTCGGTGTAGAAGTAAAGTTAGATGTTGGTTCCTTCTCTGAGCTTTACTCCTCTTCAGAATTCAAGTCTCAATTCCCTCTTAAATAGGCAGTAGGACTTTATTTATAAAATTTCGTATGTACTTAATGAAAAAATCTTAATCACTTTGATTAAATGTCCCGGATAGATTCCCTCAATCGGATGACGTTTGCTAAATATTTGAGTGTCTTGATAATGTTAAAATTTAGCGTTCTTGGGCTCATTGAATTTGTCTTGTCGGGATGCTCGATTAGATTATAAGCTCACTAGATTCATCATCCGTTTAACCTTTTAAATATGTCCGAAAATCTTCCGAATGTATTTTAATGGCTTAATGGGGGCTTTATTTGATGCAGATTGTTTAAATTTTGCTACCATTGAGTCCATCTTGTTGAGCTGGTCGGTTTGGCTATAATTGTTGAAATCGGAGCTTTGGATGACTTTTATTCAACATTTGAATATTTCTTGCTCAAAGGATCTCTCTGAGTTCTGCCCATGCCTTGTGATTCATGCCAGTTGATGGAAATTTATTGATGATGTTTCAGTTGCCTTCTTATTTTTAAGCGAGACCAATTTAATCATCTGAAAATATTTAAAACTATATTATTGAATTAATTGTGTTATTATTATTACTTTTCATTGCTGTTTTTGCTATAAATTATTGATTACAAATTTAACTCCTTATCCCATAGGCAGGAAAGAGTTAAATAGTCTCTCGAGCTACAACATTGGCGCACAAATGAGCATGTTGTCCTGTGGTAGAGAGGATTGTTATAGAAAGTAATAGTTGGGGCTTAAATGCACCATCTTCAGGGGTCGGCACGACGTCTCTGATGATGCATAGCCTTGTAGGTTGTTTCTTACGGTGCTTCATCGCAACGAGTGGGCAGTGACAGATGGTGATCGACAGCGACCGGTGAGCGGTATTCGTTGATAGAGGATGGCTATAAAAGTGGAAGTGTTTGTCGGATCGTTGGTGCAAAAGTGATGCTAGACATCACCTCCTTCTCTAAGTTTCAGTCTTCTTCAGGTTTAGAGTGCTCAGTCCCCTCTCAAGAGGGGGTAAGGCTTTATTTCTGAAATTATGATTGCAATTAATGTAGTAATCCAAATCACTCTGATTGTACAACCCTGAGAGATTCTCTCGATCAAATGATGCTTGATGGACATTTGAGTTTCATAAAGATGTCATAAGTGAGCGATCTTAAGCTCGTTGAATTTGTCTTATCAAGATGCTCAATTCGATTAGATTCTCACCAGAATTTTCATCTGTTTTCCCTTTCAAATATGTTAGAAAAGCTTCAAAAAGTGGTTTTAAGGCTTGACCGGGTTTAGACTTTTGTTTGGATTGTATCAATTTTGGTACCATGGGGTACATCTTTATCGAGCCAACTAGTTTGACTATAAGTTTGTTGAAATTAAAGCTCTAGATGACTTTTAATTAAATTTTGAACCTCTCTTGCTCAAAAGATCGCTCCAAGATCCCTGTCATGCTCATGTCGGATAATGAAAATTTTTGATGACGTATCAATATATATATATATATATCGAGATTCGTGTCGGATGATGAATATATTTTTTAGAATTATATCTAAAGAATATATCATACCTCAATTGACTTATAATTTCTTATATTTATGCACCTTTTTTTTAAATTGGGGCATATTAAATTGGTTAAAACATGTTTGAATTCAAACGGATTTGAACCCAAATTTTGACTTTGTTTGAGCCAATATTCAAATCTAATTCGAGCATGATTTGAACATTAATTTGAAGTTTATGCTAAGGATTTTTTCCCAACTCCCCTTCTCCTTCACACTCTATCATATCATGTTGCTCCACTCCTCTTCTCATTCGCACAACAAAATTTTGTCACCATCTCTACTCTCTTAAAAAAATTGTTAGATCTCGACTAAGCTAATCCCAGCCATCAGGAACTCGCTTTCTCATTGACATGATTCTAGATCTCGTCCATCTTAATTCTACTGTCATGAACTCTCCTACTCATTCACATGCCATTAGATCTGATTCAATCATTCATGAACTCTTCTTCTTAAGTGTTTTTTTATCATGTTGTTGCCTTGCTAGAGTAGTGCATGAACTTCTCTTCTTCATACACACCAAACTCGCATGAGTGCAATCTTCATGCACCATTCAAACAATGTTTCAAATCTAAATAAATTTGATGCTTTTTGTTTCAACAAAATGTTCACGAATATTATATAGGGCTACATTATATGAATTGAAATTTTAGGTATAATTGTGAAAGAAATTTAAAAGTAAGAAAATTTCTTAAGTTAAGCATATAAAGTGAAATTGCCCTAAAATATTCTTGTTTTTCCCTTTTAAGGGTAAATCTCAAGTAAAATTACCCTTCATGTATGATGTGGATTGTATTTTAAAGTTTGAGTTAAAGAAAATTGGTTTGAATAAAATTTAACTATGCTTCCAACCAATTCAAGGAAAGCTTAAAAAATGTTTAAATAGGTTTTGAAAATGGTCATAGTAAGCTCCAAACATATTAGAGATAAGTTTTAGCAAGATTTCAATAGCATTTGAATGTTCGAGAAATATTCAAATAAAATTTGAATAATATTTAAATAAGGTTCAAACATGTTAGAACATATTAGATTATATCTTTGATATAACAAAATACAATAAAAAATGTTACAATGTTATAAAGTACAACTTTTACACAACAAGATACAAACAAAGTAACTATAACACGATAAATCATAACTGTAATACATCTACTATAGCACATTAGAATTGAATGACCAAACATAATATAGTTGAATGCATATAATCTATAGAAAAAAATGAATATATAAAGCAATTAAATGTACATCTTTTGTTATGCTAAATGAATTAAAAAAAAAAGAACCACTTGTGCATACTTTGTCAATTAATTACACTTTTCTTTGAGTTGCCTATAAATCCTTATTGTTGTTAGAAAATTACAAAATCAATTTCTATAGAAGTTTCTACAATCAGGGATGCCGTTGTAGGCATCATAGCCTATAATTTGGGTAAGTGTGAATATTAATGATAAAATTATAAAATGGAAAAGAGGCAATTTAAAGTACAACACAAAATATTTTAAGTCCAGCTCGTGTACACAAAAATTTCAAAGAATATGAAAAATTCAAAAAATTAAACTAGAGAGTAAGTATATTAGCTAAAACTACAAGTGTCTAGAATTTTTGTGTGCGTGTGCGCGTGTCTATTGATACACCATCAACAAATTTGCATCATCTGGTGCAAACTCGAGACAAAACACGAATCTCAAGGCAATCTTTTGAATAAGAAATATTTAAAGTTCAATTAAGCGTCATCCAGAGCTTGATTTTAGCAAACTTATAATCAAACTAACCTGCTTGATGAGATAAACCCAATGATATTAAACTTAGTCCAATCCGACTCAAATCATGCTTAAATCAAGTTATTAAACCACTCTTGTAAGTTTTCCGGACACATTTGTAGATTCAAACTGATATTGAATCTGGGGAGTTTATAGTCGAATAGAGCGTCTCAGTAAGAAGAATCCAACGAGCTCAAGATTGCTCAATTATGATATTGTTAAGGCACTCAAATGTCTATCTAACACCGTCTAATTGAAAGAAGCTCTCCAGACCATATGATCAAAATGGTTCATATTCCAACATTAATATCATCCAAAACACTATATATCGAGCTCCACTACACTCATGAGGGGGGAGAACTTAAGGCTTAAGGAGAAGAGCCTGAAACCTGAAGAAGAGCTTGACGTTTTGAGGAGCTGAAGTCCATCACTACAGTCACCGTCGACCACTATCGACCGCCATCAATAACTGTCAACTATTGTCGACCACCGTCGACTGCCGTCGACCACCACCTATTGGCCTCCACCAATCGCCATCCGTCGCCGCCCACTTCTTACAATAAGTTTACTCGTGCACCGACGTTGTAACTTCGAAGAGTGTTCAACCCTTTCCCGCCTGAAGGATGAGGGACTGTACATATAATATCTAGTTTATAGTGGATTCCTTGAGTTGGGTTAGGCCGTGCAGATTTTTCCATTTATGGGGTTTCCACGTAAAAACTTCT